ATAATGGTTAAAGCACTGGAATCCCATGTATTTGACCACGGTGTGAGTCCTAGACCCTGTGCCTTGAAACCCATGCTGGGTGCATGTGCATGCATGCCCCAAACCAGACAAGAGAATGGAGGAGAAGGGATTGAGGCATGACCCCCCCTCTGCCCGGGGGATGATTTCTCCCTTTCTGTCTCTGTATCTCTCTGAAGAGTACATGCACCCTATAGCAAAAATCTCTCTCAAAATAAAAAAAGTAAAGAAAAGAAAAAAGAGAAAGCGAAATGCCCAGAAACTATGCTAGGGATACAAGAAAAGGAAGTGCCCCGAGGTGCTGCATCTCTGGTTACGTTGAATAGTAATTAACTAGAATTCTGACAGTAAGGAACCCACAACATTTCAAATAGCCTCTTACCAAAAGTAAATGTCTGGAATCTTAAACACACATACAGACAAACTTACATGATTTTAACATTAGAGCAAACGCAGGTGGCAACTGCTCCTCCTCCAGCAAGAATCTCCACAGAAATGAGATGGAAAGGGCTAAGCAGCTCAGAATGTCATACTCGGCATCAGGTACACTCAGCGTCTACTGGCTGGTTTTCTTGATATATTCTTGTTTAAGTTGGTTTGTTTATTCCATGAGTGAGGGAAACAGAGAAAGAGACAGTAAAAGATACAGCATCCCAAGACAGTCTTGATGCCATGATCCACCCTCAGCCCCACCCAGCCTGGATCATGGGCAAATGCATGCCCAGGGTCCTCAGGGAGGACCTGACATGTTGAATCCCACATGGTTGACTCCACAGTTGAAGCCCCAGAGCCAGGGACTTGAAAAACACACTTTTGTGTGTGTGTGCCCAAAATCCTGAGGGAAGAAAAAGGAAGGGATTGTGGTATGGTGATCACCCCTGGGAAGTGATTTTTCACTTTCTCTTCTCTCTCTGGCTCTCTCCAGTGAACCCAGCAAGCATAAATGCCCTATGGCAAAAAACAACAACAACAACAAAAAAAAAAAAAAAAAACATAAAAACACAAAAGAGGCATTGACGGGTTTCCTCTCTGCATGACCACAACTAGTTATTTATAACAAATTTCAGTCATGCTACCACAGTCAAGGAACATGCCAAAGATGAAAACCACATCACATAAGGCTACCTGTGCCTACAGGGCCTAATGGCTGAGACCCGTGGCTCATCCCCTCCTCCACTAGCCTTTGGATTTCAGGTTGGTGTCTTGGGACTTTAGGACAAACTTGCACCCCTCTCCACCCCCTGTAGATACCAGTTCAACTGAATGGCACTGCCAGATGCCAGGCTGCAGAGCCTAATAGCCAGGACCCCGCGGCTCATCTCTTCCCCTACTCCCTTTTTTAACTGTCAAGACTTTGGTGTTTTGTATAGCATGGGGCATGTCGCTCAGTTTCTTCTTTTCTCTTGAGGAGGAGCTGAGCAGGTCCGTTTTCAGCACACCTCTCCTTTAGAAACAGGAAGGAATTTGTGTACCAAGGATCAATGATAACAAACAGTGCAGGGTGCTGGTGACCAAGAGGGAGGCAGAGAGAAAGAGCACCCATTTTCTACGCCTGCACATTACTGAACGATCAGAGATACCTTGAGTAATTTAGGAAGGAATGCATAGATCACCAGATGACTACGGACAATCGCGGAGGCACAAGAAATATTAGCAACCAACAAAATGTCTCTCCTCCAAGGGAAATCATCAATTCCACATCACCCACATACAACACAATGGAAGTCGTGGAAATGTCGGATAACTAATTGAGAATATTTGTAGTGGCCAAACGAAATGAAATGCAAGAGAAAAGAGACAGTGGGCTCCAGAAGATGAGGAAGTCTTTTCATGATGGGAAAGAAGAAACAGCACCATAAAAAAGGAATCAAATGGAATTGTTAGAGATGAAGAATGTGATGCAGGAAATTAAAACCTCCCGCGAAAGTATTAAAAGTAGATTAGATCACACAGAAGATGGAATCTTGAATATAGACAACAAACCTTCTGACACTAATATGAAAAACAACTTGTATTCCCTCAGCAACATCTACAGTTATTTTCTTCAACTGCCATTGCTTCAAGAACAGACAGATTGAGGAATAAACCACTGAGTACAGCCATCTTGACTAGAGTATGAGGGACAGGCTTCAGTAAGAGAATGTCATTTGCAGAGAACTGAGTCCAGGCTCATCAGCGCCAATGAAGGTAGGTGAAGGCATACAATGCAGGGTTTCACTAAGAACAAAGAAACTGCACCAAAGAGGCATCTCCTTATCATTCTGTTGTTGCCATCAAAGAGACTAAGGAAAAAGTTGGTATAGGGCCACTCCTGGTATGGTGCTTGAGCAGCTGCATCCCACATGGCCAATTATGTGGTTCAAATCCTGGATACAACAGCTTATAAAACATGCTGGGCTTGTGTGAGTGCATGCCCAAAATCCTGAAAGGAGAAATGGCAAAGGGATTGCAACGCGACCATCCTTTCTCACTTTCCTCTTTCTCTCTTTCTCTCTCACTCTCTCTGATGAGTACACACACATCCTCTGGCAAAATTTAGGGGGAAAAAATATTGAGATTGTCTTCAGACAATACGCTGAGTGCATTTTTGTTTGGACCTCATGGTAATAAGGATAAAGACTTTGGGAGAAGGGAACTGTCCAGACTTTGTTGCATAAAGCCCCCTACATACAGGATTAAGAAAGCATCGTAAGAACAAGGACAGAGTTTGTGAGAACATCTTAGAGATTGGTCTCATTTCTGTCCAAACTTGGACTAATACATGAATGCTACTACCCACACATAAAGGCAGTTACAATCTGCTTTATCCTTAGCCTGGACCTGGAATTGGTGAGGGAGGCCATGATGCTGGGCTTGGATGCTGAGAATTGACCTGGGATCCTTGAAGACCAAGAACGGACCCATGGATGAGATGTCCAGGGAAACTGCTAGAGAGTTATTGGTAACAGGACTCAAGTTACAATCCAAAATGCTTCTATTGCTTTCAGAGCAGGAAAAGGTGCTTCAGCTGGAATTTAAGGAAAATACTTCTCAATAGTCCTTGAATAATGTCCCAATGGAAATTAGGAAATGTCTGGAACTGAACAAAAATGAAAATACAGGGACCAGCAGTTGGCATAATGACTATGTCACTGGACTCCCATGTAGTCGACCGCGGTTCGAGTCCCAGACCCAGTGGCTTAAACTCACGCCGGGCGCGTGTGCGTGCGTGCCCAAGATCTCAAGAGGAGAATGGAAGAGAAGGGATTGCAGTGTGGCCATCCCCTCTGGGGGGTGATTTCTCGCTTTCTATCTCTCTGTCTCTCTCTGTCTTTCTGGCGAGCGCACGTGCCCAATAAGAAAAAACCTTTCCAAAAAAAAGAAAGAAAAAGATTTTGAACAATTAATTGGAAAACATTATGAGGAAGACTGAATCTCTTATAAGGCCACATTTGTCCTGCAGTGCCCGGGAGAGCAGTAGTTGCAGGACCTGGAACTTGGAGTGCTACAAGTGGGAAAGTTCCAGCAAACTAGAATAGTTAGTGGCTGTGCAGGATCTTCTGGGAACAAAGTCTATGGCACACTCCAAAAGGAGATATTGTTAGGACCACCCCCCAAGAAATGGGGAACACAGTCTTGAGACACGTCTTCTTCTGGGACAAAGGAACCACTGAAGAAAGACCCCATAGGCAGGGCTGCTACCAGGGTGAGGGCTCACAGGTATGGGGGAAGGGCAATTCTGAAGGAGCACAGAAGCTGTCACTCAAAATCTCCCTAGGAGATCGGGTCACAGACAAGGAACATCCTTTGTCCTTATTTCCTTAGCAATGGCTTCAGCTCAAGTTTGGTTGTTTTTTTATTTTTTTAAAGAAACATTTTTTGGGAGCCAGCAGTTAGCGTAATGGCTATGTTGCTGGACTCCCACGTAGTCGACCGCGGTTCGTGTCCCGGACCCGGTGGCTTAAAACTCACGCTGGGCGTGTGTGCATGCGTGCCCAAGATCCCGAGAGGAGAATGGAGGAGAAGGGATTGCGGCGTGACCATCCCCCCTGGGGGGTGATTTCTCTCTTTCTGTCTCTATGTCTCTCTCTGTCTGTCTGGCGAGCGCACGCGCCCTACAGTGAAAATCTCTCCAAAAAAAAAAAAAGAAACATTTTTTATTTAATCTTATTCATCATTATCTTTTTTTACTTTTTGATGTCATTGGACAGAGACACACAGAGTGAGAATGAAAGTAAGAAAGGAAGACGCCAGTTCTGGGTCTTGAACCCCCATTGAAATGGGTGTTTTCAGTGCCTTAACCAACACATCACCTGTCGACATGGATGACTTCAGTTCTTTTTATAGAAGCTGTTGCTTTGAGAACAGATGTGCAGATAAATAACCCACAAGGACAAGTTTTATGAGGTTTTGAAAATTTTACTCTAGGGCATGTGCACTTGCTACAGAGAGAGAGAGGGAAAGTGATCAAGCACCACAGTGGGCATGGCCTTGGTGTAATCCCATCTCCTCCATTTTATTCATGGGATTATGGACACACACACGCACCTGGTAGGTCTTTGAAGACACCAGGTCTGCGACTCCAACCATTCAGTTGGCCATGTGGGATCCAAGTGCCTTAACTAACCCATGCCACCACCTGGCCCAAGGACAACTACTGACCTGAACATAATTGTTGAGCAACTCAGTAAGACAACATTGTTTCTGGAGAACTGAATCCAGGGAGGGAAGCATGTTTATGCCAGACAGAGCATTTGGACTGAGGATTTCCCTGAAAACAGAGACATTACACCAAGCAGGAGTCTCCTTGACAGACTACTCCTGCCCTCCAAAAGCTGAAGTAGATTGTATACTTGGAGGGGAATTGTCCCAGGAGGGGAATAAAATATCATGATCCTCAGAAAATAACCAGAGAGCCTGCTTCCTTGTGCACTTCACTGTGGGAGGGGGAGGAGCAGAGAGCACACCTGACTCTCCAGCCCAGGTGGCCTGAGCCTCTCTGCTCAGGGCTGAGGAGGCATCTGCAGAGCCAGGGAGGAGCCTGTGAGCTCAGGGCAGGTTTTGGTCTCGCTTCCCCATAGGCTTGGCCCACTGTGCAAAATACCACTACCAGCATATGAGTTGCAGAAATAATCAGCTTCATCCTCGTCCTGGAGCTCAGAGATGGTCATGGAGGCCGTGTTCCCAGACTTGGAGCCAGAAAAGCGAGTGGAGATCCCAGAGGGCCGGGAACTGACAGCATAGATCAGAAGTTTGGGGAGGCTGCCTGGATGCTGTTGGTACCAGGAGACAAGATTATATCTCCCAATGTCATTGCTGCTTCCAACACAGGAGAGGGTGACCTTCTCTCCCAGAGCCCCAGACACTGAGGAAGGCTGAGTCAAGGCAGACTGGGCCCAGAACCCTGAAAAGAAGAAAAATACACTCTGGTGAGTCCTTGCTGGGCCACAGAGAGCCTGAGGAGGAGGAGACAAGCAGCACCCTGATGTCCCTGGCCTCGTCCCCTGAGGAATCACCTATGCTTTGGGACAGGAGGGTGAGGAGGAGCAGAGCCCAGGCCATGGTGGAGACGCCCCTGAGCACGGCCTGCTGAGACCCCAGCACCGGGCCTGGCTCCCCTAGAAGCTCTTATCCCTCCCCTGCCTCAGTAGAGGGGTGGATCTCCATGCAAATCTGCCTCCTGCACAAGCACCTCCTCCTTACCTTGACCAGACCTGGACTTAGACACTTCTGTACCCTCAAACAGCAGGGGTCAGTGAAAGGTGAAAACTCTCTGAAATGCATTTTATGAGTAAGGACAGACTGAGCCCATGAGAGTGTGTGGAAATGGGGCCGGCTTTCAGGTGCCCTTACACTTCCTGTTGTGGATTCCATGGCGGCTTCTGGCTGAGGTTTCCCAGGAATCCCCTTACTGCTGTGTCAGATGAGGGTGAAGACAGGGCTCCAGAGTGGCTAGAAGACATACAATCTCTCTTTCTCTCTCTCTGCCTCTCTCTCTCTCTCCCTCTCTCTCTCCCTCTCTCACCATAGAGAAACAGAGGGAGAGAATGAGAAGGAGAGACAGAGAGAATATATGAAAACACCTGCCAAGCAATGATCAATCCACAATCCCTTATTCTCCATATCTCCCCCTCTTTGGAACTTTGGGCACACTCTCACAAATGCCCAACTATTTTAAAATCCGTCATATGTAGGTCTCTAGCCATTGGGTTGGCCATGGGGAATCCAGTTGCCTTACTTACCAGGCCATGGTTAACCCAGTCTCTCCTCTTAAAAGTATGGAAATGTTGACCTACAGGGCCAGGAAGTGCACGGGACTGGAGAAAGTGGCTAGCAAGGAGACTGGCCCCTGGTGGGGTGTTTTTCCCAGAAGAGGAAATATTACCTACAGCTCGGATTTTCACGGCATTGTTTTTAAATACCCAAAGACTTGTTACTCCTCCTGAAATGGACTCAGGCATGTGGAAAGCACCAGACTTCACCCCAGGGACTTCTTTTCTCTTCTGAGTCTCAAGGCTGATCACCCATCTTGGCAACTGGGAAAAAAAAAAAAAAAAAAAAGAAGAGAGAGAATCAAAGGAATAATTCAGATGTCTCTTTTTCTTTTCCACCATCAAAGGGTCTTGGTCCTTTAGGATGGGACTGATTCTAGATCTTGCTCTGTCATCAGCCTTGACAATGAATTCAGGCTGGATCCTCACATTGAGACTTTGGGTTGTTAGTGGTTCTCCAAGAAAGAGAATTATGAAGACACAACAGTTCTGGGCTCTTCATTCTGAGCGACTCTGGAAAGATTCCAGGTTAAGCAGATCTTGGGACTCACACAAGCCAGGGTTAAAAAAAAAAACCCAGAAGCTACCCTTGGAACCTCATCTTTTGCTGCCCCCTTGTGGCCTGTTCATTAATTATGGGTACCAGGAAGCAGCTGGAATCCCTGATCTGGTCGTCTCCCAGTGGGCCTCCCTCTTTACATTCCCAAATCACCACCAGCTCTCTGATACCAATAATCCATCCCGACACGTGTATCATCGTTCCCTCCATAGTGCCATGCTTCCCCTGCCTCAACAAGGCTTTCTGACAACTGAACTTAGGACCTCCTTGCATGACCCAGAAGGGCCTGGTCACAGGGTTAGTGGACACGAAGCAGCTCTTGCTCCTGGCTGACAGAACATCAGATGTGAAATGAATATAACCCCAGTAGGGTGCATGGGCTAGAAAAATGGTAACCTCCTGGCTTGTTAATGCCTTTTTTCAAGTATCCATGGATCGTTCTCCAGAGCAGCTCACAGGTTAGGGTATAAAACAAGTCTCCAAAAGTTTAAGATTCAAAAATCTCTTCAGAGTACGATGGACTAGAACCACGAATCACTAGCAATCAGAAAATGGAAATTTTACTAAGAGGTGGGAATTAACACCACGTGCTTGAAGACCACTGGGTCACAAGGAAATGCAAAGACAATTTCAAAAACTTAGCACACGTGCAAATAAAAGCACAATATAATGAAAAATAATGAGATGCAGTAAGGCAATACCAAGAGGGAAGGTGACAGCAATAAACAGCTTCATTAAAAAGGGAGGAAGAGGGACCAGCAGTTAGCGTAATGGCTATGTCACTGAAATCCCACGTAGTCGACCGCAGTTTGAGTCCCGGACCTGGGGGCTTAAACTCACACCAGGCGCATGCGCGTGCGTGCCCAAGATCCTGAGAGGAGAATGGAGGAGAAGGAATGGCGGCGTGGCCATCCCCTCTGGGGGGTGATTTCTCACTTTCTGTCTCTCTGTCAGTCTGGCTGGCGAGATAAAACAAAAAAAAAAAAAAAAAAAAAAGGAAGAAGAGGCTGATTCCAGAGGTGCAGGGGTAACTGAAGACTTTGTGGTATTGAAGTCGCACGGGAGGGTCCGGAGTTTATGGCCTGAGGTCTCCCTGTGCATGCTGTGTGTGCGTGTGCTCTGTGTCTCTCTCTGCGTCTCTCTTGCTCTAGCAACAAGGAAGAAAAGGAAGGAAGGGAGGAAGGAAGGAAGAAAAGGAGGATTACCTAAGTTGTTTTGGAAAATCTCTCTTCAGCTGATTGCTAATAAATAGGAATAGCATCATTCCAAGCTCAAGCCAGCAGCTCCTGGTCATACGTCTTCACAGAAACATTCTTCTGGGTTGTGTCACAGGGGCTTTTGTGCAGGGTTGGATTCTGGCGATCCCCTGTGATAGTTCTTGTTATCAGGCTCAGGAACTGAGATCCTCCTTGGCCTTACCTGATGACCTTCTCGGTGACTTATTGGCACAAGCGACTCCATTTGTATTCTGACAACTTCCAGTAGCCACAGAGACACAGGTGACTGAATCTCGACCATGCTGAGTCAGACACGGAGCTGGGAGCCAGGGCTCTGCTCTGAGTTTCTAATTAGAGAAACCCCTCCCCACTGGGACTGTGTCCTGGCTGCTTAGGGCTCAGCCCGCGTCAAGGTTCCAGAACAGATGGTAAGTTTCTGAATGGCACAGAGTAAGTATAAGAGAAAGGAAGCAGGTCATTAGGAAAAGTTTTGAACAATTCATTTAAAGGGAGACCATGATGAGAAAGACTGATTCTCAGGTAAGGCCACATTTTGCCTGAGGTGCCTGGGAGAGTGCACTTTCTGGACTTGGGACGTTGAGGCTCTCACAGGGAAAGTTCTGGCAAGCTAGGACAGTTGGTGGCTGTGCCAGATCTTCTGTGAACATCGTCCAGGTTCACTCAGACAGTCCCTTTGGCTGAGATATTTGTGTATCTGCAACTTAGTGATCGACTGCCAGGGAATTGTATGAAGAATTTGTACTGGACACCCTAAAAGGGGACACTTTAAGGATCTCCAAGAGGGAACCAGCAGTTAGCGTAATGGCTATGTCGCTGGACTCCCACGTAGTCGACCGTGGTTCACATCCCAGACCTGGTGGCTTAAAACTCACGCCGGACGTGTGTGCGTGCATGCCCAAAATCCTGAGAGGAGAATGGAGGAGAAGGGATTGCGGCATGACTGGCCCCCCACGGGGGGGATTTCTCGCTTTGTCTCTATGTCTCTCTCTGTCTGTCTGGCGAGCACACGAGCCCTATAGCGAAAATCTCTCCCCCCCCAAAAAAAAGGATCCCCAAGAAATGGGGGACACAGTCTTAAGACACGTCTTCCCTGTGTTACAAGGAGCCATTGAGGAAAGAGCCCACGGGCAAGGCTGCTGCCAGGGCGAGGGCTCATAGGTATGGGGGAAGGGCAATTCTAGAGAGGCACGAAGGCTGTCACTCAAAATCTCCCAGACTTGGTCCCTAGGATATCGGGTCGCAGACAAGGGAGATTTCCTAATTTCCTCAACAATGGCTTCAGCATTTTTGATAGATGTTATTGTTTCGGGGAAAAAACAAACAAACAAAAGAATGAGTGGTAAAATAAAACCTGCAAGAACAACTATTTTTTTTTTTTTAATTTTGCAGTAGGGTGAGTTCAATTGCTGCTACAGAGAAACAGATATGGAAAGCAATCCATGGAAAGTAATAAAGTATTCCCCAGAGGGGAATGCCATGTCACAATCCCTTCTCCTACGGTTTCATGTCCCATGCACACACACACACACACACACACACACACACTGGGTGTGTCTTTCAAACTGCAGCTCTCAGGACTTGAACCATGCACTTGGCCATGTTGAATAAGACAATATCCCTTCTGGGGAACCGAGTCGGGGGGAGGGGAGACAGAATGACTGGGGCAGGCAAGAGCATTTAAATAGTGAGGCTTTCACTGAACACAGGGGAATTACACTGAGCAAGGGTCTCCTTGATGGTCTGCTCCTGCCATCCAACAGTTGCCCAGAGTTGCACACTTGAAACCACGTTCTGGGCAGGGAGTAAGAAGTCATGATGTCCAGGAATAAACAGAGAGCGTGTTTTCTGCACTGTGGGAGGGGGAAAAGCAAAGAGCACACTGAACTCTCTAGGCCAGGTGGCCTGAGCCCCTCTGCACAGGCCTGAGGACACATCTACAGAGCCAGGGGCAGTCTGTGAGCTCTGGGCAGGTTATGGTCTCAATCCCCACATGCTTAGACCCCAGTGCAAATGTCGCTGGTCGTGTGGGAGCTGCACATGCTGACGGGCTCTGCAGTTCCTTGCTCCCATAGCAGGCTCAGCACATTCCTGGCCAGGTTTTGTTGACTCAGTCCATTGGCCTCCAAGGAACTGGGGGGATGGTCATTGGGGTGCTTATGGTAGGGAGAATTATCTCACAGTGGAGGCCTCTGCATCTGCATCGTGTTCAAGCACAGGGAGAGTAGCTTGAGCCCTAGTCAGTAGGAGGGGCCACTTGTGCAGGCCTGGATAATTCGAGGAAATTGTTGATTTACAGTTTTCAGGTGCTTGAACCCTGAAGCCTCATCCTCTGTGTCACTATCCCTTCGGTACCGAGCAGGGCCCTGACAGTGCCATACCAGAGTCGTCCCTTGTGGAAAGGTCACCGTTCTCCTAAGCTCCGCTTCTCCTGGGCTTAAGTTCAAAGCCTCAGCCTTCCCTGCCTTCTGAGAGATGAGAGACTTACTTCAGCCAGGGAGGAGGCTTTCTGGTTTTTACTCGGAAGGAGTTCGAAATACACCGCTCTGGCGTATTAAGGTTTATAAAAAACAGCAGATACAAAGAGATCATTCTGACACCTCAGCAATGGCTTCTACTCCATTTTTTTGAAGAATCATTTTTATTTAATTTTATTCATCATTTTTTCTTTATTAGACAGAGACACACAGAGAGAGAAGGAAAGTGAGAAAGAAAGCTGCCAACTCTGGGTCTTGAACCCCCATTGACACGTGGGAGTTCAATGCCTTAACCAACACGGCACCTGTCGACATGATGGCTTCAGGTCTATTAAAAGATGCTGTTGCTTTGAGAACAGATGTGCAGATAAGTAACCCACGAGGGACAGGTTTTATGGTGTTTATTAATATTTTACCGTAGGGAATGTGCACTTGCTAGAGAGAGAGAGAGAGAGAGAGAAAGTGACTAAGCACCACATGCAGCATGGTCTTGGTGTAATTCTATCCGCTCCACTTTATTCATGGGATTATGGACACACATGCTCGCACCTGGTGTGTCTTTGAAGACACCGGGTCTGCGACTCAGTTACCCATGTGGGATCCAGGTGCCTTACCCACTGTGCCACCAGCTGGATCAAGGACAACTACTGACCTGAACATAATGGATTTGCAACTCAGCAAGACGACATCCTTTCTGGAGAACTGAATCCAGGGAGGGAGCATGGCCTTGGCAGACAAGGGCGTTTATATTTTAGATTTCCCTGAAAACAGAGACGTTACACTGATCAGTCGTCTCCTTGAAAGCCTATTCCTGCCACCCAACAGCTGTACTAAGTTGTCCCCTTGGAACCATGTTCCAGGCAGGGAGTAAGAAGTCATGATCCTCAGAAAATAACCAGAGAGCCTGTTTCCTTGTGCACTTCACTGTGGGAGGGGGAGGAGCAGAGAGCGCACTGAACCCTCCAACCCAGGTGGCCTGAGCCCCTCTGCACAGGGCTGAGGAGGCATCTGCAGAGCCGGGGGGAGCCTGTGAGCTCAGGGAAGGTTTTGGTCTCGCTTCCCCATAGGCTTGGCCCACTGTGGGAAGTATTACTACCAGCGTATGACTGACAGAAATAAAGAGCCTCATCCTCTTCCTGGAGCTCAGAGATGGTCAGGGAGGCCGTGTTCCCAGACTTGGAGCCAGAAAAGCGAGTGGGGATCCCAGAGGGCCGGGAGCTGACAGCATAGATCAGAAGTTTGGGGGGGCTGCCTGGATGCTGTTGGTACCAGGAGATACCACTGTATCTCCCAATGTCGTTGCTACTCCCCAGACAGGAGATGGTGATCGTCTCTTCTAGAGCCCCAGACACTGAGGGAGGCTGAGTCAGGACAGACTGGGCCCAGGAGCCTGAAAAGAAAGAAAGTACACTCTGGTGAGTCCTTGCTGAGCCCTGGAGAACCTGAGGAGGAGGAGACAAAGCAACACCCTGATATCCCTGGTCCCTTCCCCTGAGGAATCACCTGTGCCCTGAGACAGGAGGGTGAGGAGCAGAGTCCAGGCCATGGTGGAGATACCCCTGAGCATGGCCTGCTGAGACCTCAGCTTGGGCCTGGCTCCCCTACAAGCTCTTATCCCTCCCCTGCCTCAGAAGAAGGAGGAGCCTCCATGCAAATCCGCCTCCTACCTCTGCTCCTCCTCCCTCCCCCCACCTGACCTGGCCTAGACTCAGGGGCTCCTGGATCCTTGGACAGCAGGGCTCAGTGAGTGGAGAGAACTGTCTGAGAGTCAGAGAGACTGTGAGTCAGGACAGACTGTGCCCATGACAGAGCCTGGTAATGGGGCCATCCTTGGGGTGTCCTTGCCCTTCCAGATGTAGATTCCAAAATACCTCCTGGCTGAGGTTTCTCAAAAATCCCCTCCCTGTTGTGTCAGGTGAGGGTGAAGACAGGGCCCCAACGTGGCTAAGGGAGATACCGTCTTTCTGCCTCTCTCTCTCCCTCTTTCTCTTTTTAATGCTCTGGACGGTGGATGCACTCACCATAGAGAAACAGAGGGAGAGAAAAAGGAGAGAGTATATAAGAAAACACCTACAAAGCAATGGTGAAACCACAATCCCTTCTTCTCCATTTTTCCCTCTCTTCAGGATAGAGATAACCCTCACACCAGTGTGGGATTGTTTTTCAAGTCGTCCCATCTGGTTTCCAGCCATTCGGTTGGCCATGGAGGATCCAGTTGCCTTACTCACCAGGCCACGGTTAACCCAGTCTCTCCTCTTAAAGGGACCAAAGGCAAAACTTGAATGTCGCCTTTCCTGTCCACCCTCAAACTCTGTTGTTATCTTGGGATGGGACTGATTTTAGATCTTGCTCTGTCATCGGCCTCTGCAGTGAATTCAGGCTGGATCCTGACACTGAAATTTTGGGTTCTTAATGGTTCTCCATGAGAGAGGTTTATGGAGACACAAGAGTTCTGGGCTTTCTACCCTGAGGGCCTCTAGAAATATTCCAGGTTAAGCAGATCTTGGGACTCACACTGACCAGGGTAAATAAAAGCCAGAAGCTACCCTTGGAACCTGGTCTTTTGCTGCCCCCTTGTGGCCTATTCATTAATTACAGGTAATAGGAAGCAGCTGGAATCCCTGGTCTGGTCCATCTCCCAGGTGGACCTCCCTCTCCACATTCCCAGCTCAGCACCAGCCCCCAGATACCACTAATCCATTCTGACAAGTGTGTTATTGTTCCCTCCATAATGCCGTGTTTCCCCTGCCTCAACAAGGCTTTCTGACAACCGAACTTAGGACTCCCTTGCATGACCCAGAGGGGCCTAGTCACAGGGTTAGTGGACATGAGGCAGTTCTTGCTCCTGGCTGACAACATCAGGTGTAAAATCAAAATGACCCCAGTAGGGAGCATGTGATAGAAAAATGGTAGGAGGAGACCTACTGGCTTGTTAACATCATTTCTGAAGTATCTATGGATAATTCTTCAGAGCAGATCACAGGTTAGGACACAAAACAAGTCTCCAAAAGTTTAAGATTCAAAAATCTCTTTAGAGAACAGTGAAATAGAACCGCATATCAATAACAGTCAGAAAATGGGCATTTTATTGAGCAGTGGGAATTAACACCACATATTTGAAGACCATTGTGTCATAAGGAAATGCAAAGAGAACTTCAAAAACTTAACACACGTGCAAATAGAAGCACAAAATAATGAAAACTAATGAGATGCAGTAAGGCAATACCAAGTGGGAAGATGACAACCATAAACAGCTTCATTAAAAAGGGAGGAAGAGGTAGGACCAGCAGTTAGCATAATGGCTATGTCGTTGAACTCCCATGTAGTCAACCGTAGTTCAAGTCCCGGACCCGGTGGCTTAGACTCACGCCAGGCGCGTGTGCGTGCATGCACAAGATCCCGAGAGGAGAAGGAGGAAAAGGGATTGCGGAGTGGCCATTCCCCCAGGGGATGACACTTTCTGTCTCTCTCTGTCTGGCGAGCACGCGCACGCACCCTATAAAAAAAACATCTCAAAAAAAAAAAAAAAAAAAAAAAAGGGAGGGGGAACCAGCAGTTAGCGTGATGGCTATGTCGCTGGACTCCCATGTAGTCGACTGCGATTTGCATCCCGGACCC